TGCAACACTACCATGCAAGGACATGCTCAAAGTCAAGTGGGACCACACCAAAAGGACAAAGGAGTTGGCTTGAAGGGACTTCTGGCCAAAACTGGGAACAATCTGAACATCAAAAATATGACAACAGTAATGGATTATATATAATTCACTGAATATAAAAGAGAATTCATTGAAACGTCAGAAGAATAAAAAGAATAGCATTTCTTTACAGAAAAATGCAGGGTAATAAATACAAAAATGAATTTAAAGAATCCATCATTTTGCAATCCCCAGCACGTAATAATAAGGCAAAGACCATGAATGGATTCTAAAACGCTTGTGAACGTTTTTTAGAAACCAGATAATCACAAAGCATCACCCCACAGATTACAAAAGGAAAACATATACAGGTCCACCACTGGAGAGATCTGGCAGTCACCACCTTAACCGAACGATCAAGCTTAGCATCAACCATGGGTCACCCTGACGTTGTGCCTCCCGAGGTCATGCAATAAGTACATATTATTTTCGCTGGGCTCTTGTCAAAAATGTTTAAGATTCATTCCTCAGGAATCTACTCATGAGGAAATAATTGTGGGACACTATGCAAGACAAATGGCCTCTTCAATATGAATGTCATGAAAAAAAGAAAAGTAGGGGATCTGTTGTAAAATAAGACTTAAGAGAAATAATAATCAAATGTAATACGTGAACCTTCATTTGATCCTAGATCAAACATCAAGTTAAAAGTTCTAAGATTTTAGAAATTGGGAGAAACGAAGTATCAACTATTTGTAAGATTAGGAAACTGTTAGTGTGATGAAGTCATTGTAGTTATACAGGTGAACATCCTTATTAGGAGATGCATACATGATTTAGGGGTAAAAGGTCACAATGTCTGTGACTAGCTTTCAAGTGCTTCACATAAAATCAATATGTATTTAGAGAGGAAGAGAACTGGAGCAAAACATTTGCAATCGGTGAATCCAGTTAAAGGGTCTGTGGATGTCATCAAACCTTTCTTTCAACTTTTCTATGGGTTGGACTTTATTTTTATATATAAAATAGAAGAAATAACAGAGATCCACTGGTCATAATTTAAATTGAATTAGCATCCTCAGGTTAGGGCTCAGGAATCTTATTTTTCAAAAGCTCATTCGGGTGATTCAGACACACGGCCAGAGAAGATAACCACTGGTCCAAGTCTTGTTTCTGCTACTTCCTCTGTGCTGAGAAAAAAGTGAGGGGAAGAAATGCTAATTATCTCATATAGAATTAGCTCAGCTGGCGGCCCAAGAGCAATTTCCCTGATAGTTCCACAAGCCAAGGCAATTATCTCAGACACAGTCTGAATGGCCTCTGAAGGTCTTAAGATTGGTTTTCCTGTTGAGGAAGGAAGGTACTAGTCCTCCGTTACGGGGCCTTGGCTGCTGTAAGAAACCTCCAGCAGCACAAGCTTCAGGGCACTGAAAGAGCTAGAAGGACAGGAACAGGGAGCAAGCCTAGGAACTGTTCAGGGGCAATCTACCAGCTGAAGAATCCAGTGTTTCACCAGGAATTCAACTTAGCACTGAGCACAAAGGTTTCACCTGGGAGTGTATAAGGGGTGCAAATAATTTATTAACATTTAGTGACTGTCTCTTACATACCTGAGTCAGAAGTCATTACTAACACCCTCGGCTCTGCCACACATGGGCACATGCCCCCAACAAAGCGATATGTTCAATGTCTATTCTAAAAACGCTGGTGTAAGTTTAACCCCAAACCAGACTGATTATGGGACAATTTAAACAACTGCAAGAAATTTTAAACTAAAGGGCAGAAAAGGTTAGGTTTCCATACAGCTACTGGGAATTGTTTTTATTGAAGAGGAAAAAAACACTTTCACTAGAAAAGCTATATGTCCTTCTACACGATTATACTGCTCGGAAGGGAGATCAAGGTAGGGAGGCATACAAGTTGTAAAGGGTAGAAAATGAATGCAAACTTGGAAGACAGAACTCTTCCCAGGAGCAGGGAGATGCCTGCAGTCAGGTTTCCTGGGTACCTAGTGGGCAGGGAAGATCTGGAAGAGATCCATCTGGGACACAGAGTTAGGGAATATTGCCCACAGCTACCATGATGTTGCCCCGCCTCACAACCCCCACTCACTCCTGTGGTAGTGGAAGCCCCCCCCCTTAGTTAATCCACAATCCGGCAGGCAGAACACTCCCCTGAAAAGCTAGTTTGGCTTCCTGAGCAGCCAGCCCTTCGGCAGCAAGGTTTGTCAGGTCTCAAGGATGGCACTGCTGTGGATCACCCTCAGTGCACCGCACAGGGCGATGCTCACCAACACGCCACCAGTCACACCACTGGCAATTCCTATCCCCACAGCTATGGTCACCTTCTTTTTCCACGGTGGGCGCTGAGGCCTGGAATAGTTGTCCAGATTCACTTCCAGGCCCTCATCTACTAACTTCTGATCCTCAGTAAGGGACTGATGGAAATTCAGGTTCACCAAGTCAGGAGGAAGGACCCTCAGCCCGAAATAGAGCCTCTTGACAAGTCTCAAGTTCTTTAACAGCTGCACGTCACACCGGTAGGTCCCAGAGTCATACTCCTGAGCGGACTGAAACTTTATAAAGTGGGAACTGGCTCGGAAGGGTTTGAAGACTTCATCATCAGTTGAGATGATACCCCGAGCAAGTCTCCAGGTGAATCGGAAAGCTTCCTGTCCAACCTCCAGGATGTCTGAACTCAGACAGCTCAGCTTAAATTCCTGCCCTATGAGAACGGTGAAATGGAGCATTCCACAGATCCAGTTGGTCAGACATTCCAAGCGCTGAGACTTACACTTCCTTCTCACTCCATCAGGGCCCACCTCACAGACGGTCTCCTCCTTATAGCCAAGGCCACAGGTGACAGTACAGGTTGTGGCATTGACAATAACTTTCCCCACAGCTTCTTGCAGTTTCTCAGGAATGGCCAGTGTTTTAGGTAAAGTCACCACCAAAGGGAGATAGAAGGCCAACACCAGGTTCCCAAGGATGAAACTAGTGGCCAAAGTCTTCATGTCGTAGTAGGCATTTCACCACCCTCAGCCAACACCCAACGTGTTCCAGCTAAATCCTCCGCAACGTAATTTAATTCCTTCGACATGAGATAGCCTTCAAAGTCGAAAGATATGATGCATGCATTGTCAATAAAACAATACAACTTAATAAAAGTCCAGTCCTTATTAACAGGTGAGGCCACACGGCAGAAAAAATGTCACAAGGTTGTTGCTTTACTATCACTACTTGTTAACAACCACCTTACCAGTCTTCATTCTTTTCCCATCCTTTTAATGCATTTAAGTCCACCTCTTGGGAAACAAAGATGAAAAGACTTCAGAAGCTGAAGTGAATTTCCAAATTACCTCAATGTATAGTAAGGCTATACCATTCCTCACCCTTTCCCCTCCCCTCCAAATTGTAGGCTCTGAATTCAAAGGTTTCAAAATACCAGCTAAATCTGCCCAAATAAGAAATCAAATACCAAGTCTAAAAAAAAAAAAGAGAGGATTAACTTGAATTAAGTTATTATTAACTTTAAATGCTCCTAAACCTTCTATAAAAAGGATTAAGAACTCTGGACTGAGAGGCAAGTGATTTACCCTTCCTGAATTTGTTTCCTCCTTTGTAAATTAAGACCTCCTTGCCTATTTCAGGAAGGTCACTTTGAGCATCAAAAGTGATAAACTGTACATGAAAACACTTTGTAAAGTGTGTAAGGAATTTTAAAAAGAAATGAAAATTCACGAAGGCAAGGGCCAAATGGGCTTTTAGAATCAATGCTTAGCAGCAAGACAGGCGATGTTAAATGCAGCTCCTCTCCCACTTCTAGGCACTCTTCCTTCCTAAGGGTACCGAAGATATATTCTGGGGGAGAGGATATATAATTCTTCCTGACTCTCAGTCCAGTCCCCCCAACCCCATAGAACGAGAAAGGAGCTCATCATTCACTTGGGTCAAAGTTGCTATGCAACAGCTATGATGTCAAAAAAGATTCTCAGTCACATAACAGGATTAATAAGTAGACACTCAGATTTGGAGATGATTAAAATCAAAGACTTAAATAGACTTTATGAAACATCTTATTCTTTAGGAGACAATAAGTATTCGATGGATTTCAAGGCTATTTAATCTAGGGAGAAAAAGTGCTAATGAAGAGGAATTTATCTGTACTTACACTTTAAGAAAGGTCCTTGGAAGGCAGGAACTTCCTGGCAAGAGTTTTTGTAAGCTCCACAATGTCTCCTAGCACTGAGGCCTCTACAGAGTAGTTATACACTTACTGAGCTAAGGAATTGGAAGAGAGGGCATTCCTACATGATCCTTTTTTCACTAACTTTTTGCTTGAATTGTTTCTTTATATTCTTGTCCAAAGGCAGGTATCTGGACTACCTGGCCACTCCTTAGCCCTTCCAGCTGTTATTTCTACACGGAGAAGATCTAATATCAACAAAGTAAGCTGCATTTTCTGTTGTACAGAGTGAAGTGGCCGGTGACTTTCAGAAGTGATCAGTGTCTACAAACACACACCTACACCTGTTCTTTAATAAACATCAGGTTTTATTTACAAAGCATTAAAGCTTCAGCAAGAAGTACCCAAGGCTAAGTCTCATCTCGTACAAAACTACAGAACATTAGAAAACAAAACACTGGGGGGTGGGCAGGTGACAAAAGGGAAAAAGAATATGCATATTACAAATCGAGAAAATCAAACTGAAATAGACAGAAGGTTTTAGGAGCTGAAACAAATTCCAAAAGCATAAATAATTATTAGGAGCTGCTGCCAGAGACACTCTGACAGGGCTGAAGTTGACTTTCTCAGTAGCCGGTTTAGGAGGTGGACAGAGCTTGAACATCCCAATGCTCAGGCAGAGGACCCCCAGCTACTCTGCATGTGGAAATAAGGCAGAAACCTCTTGTATCACACAGTTTGCATACTACTGCACTGTACAGTACAAAGAGAAACAAAATGGAAATAATGTCTGCAAAACAAAAACATGTCTAGTGACCCACCTACCAATCTCAACCACTGGTCTAATATGAAATAGGAAATGAAATTCACAAAATGAGCATCTGAGGAAAAAGCAGTGGCATCTAAAAATATAGACATTTTGCCACTGACTCAGGGAGAGCTCTTGCTTCAACTACTGAACGTTTTGGTTCTAAAGATGGAATGGAAGAGGCTCTTGTTGATGTGTTCTACTTTGATTTCTATGCTAAAATCCAAAAGGTAATCACCTCGTTTGGCTACCTATCGGAGCAACCACCAACTGACAGAGATTTCCCAACAAGCACAGTGTTTAACTCTCCTTTGAAAATACTGTGAAAATGATGATCCAGATTAAGCACTTCCAGGCAGCTCAAAGCTCTGCTCAAGAGAGGCTGGAGAGGCCCCTCCCTCCACACCTGGTTTCTTCACTCTGGATTTTCAGAGAATTTCAAACACCTAGTGTACACATCCATCCAATCTGCTACTTTTTATACAAAGAACAGCAAAAGCAAAAATTAAAATTTTTTTTTAAAAAGCTAAGCAACCTTTCACAGAAAGGAAGTGACTGGAAACATGTAGGAAGGAAAAGGGGTGTGGATACAAGGAGGGGAAATGCAATGACTGATGGGAAGGACAGATGTCCACGAGCAATGATAAAAAAAAAAGGTGCTTAGATTTTTTGATTTGAACTGTGTTGTCATTGCTTTGATTTTGGACGGTTTTATTTTAGTCCTTGCATAGATTCCCCCACCCCCAGCAAAAAAGAAGTCTGCTGAGAGACACCTCGGTTTGTTTCTGGCTCTGGAAGCCAGTACAGGTAAAGCAATATAAACTACTGATGATTCTTTGCTGGAGACAAATGAACTAGCTATCTTCAAAAACCATGATTAATGAGAATGAACCAATACTGGAGGAAACCATGCAATGAAAAGGATACAAAGAAAAACCTGACTCTCTTATAGCTCAACTTCTGGAGCAAAATGTTACAGTATGTGAACAAAGAGGGGGCCTTTCTTATCTTTCTTTCCTTTTGGAAAATCTGAAATCTTTCCAGCACTTTCTTTTCTGCCCATCTTTGTAATACAATATGGAAATATAGGAGGTATCTGGTGAGTGGGTAAGTTTAAAAATGGAAGAAAGAATGTGCAACAGACGTTTTTCTAGGATACAGGCAGCAAAATTACAGATAAGAACAAGTCACTCAAGGACGTGCACTGTGGAGGGAAGGAAAGTAGGAGATAGGAAATGACAGGCCGAAATGGTGCTGGGTACAGTAAAGACAGACAAGCAAAACAGGAATCTCTTCTCCAGCAACATAACAAGCATTAAAGTTTAAATGAGTCAAAACTCCTGTTTGATGTCTTCACAAATCCTCATTCCTGAGAGCCTATTTGGACTTATGCTTGAAAGGGAAGGGGACATATATTCTTCTTCCTTAATTCAATTCTTCATTCAAACATAAAATTCACTCCTTCCACCTCCTGGGTGGAAGACAGAGGCCTTTGTTTTAAATTAAAGTCAATCTCAAATGACTGACCACAGTGTCCAGAGGCCACACGATGGCAAAGTAGGGAAGAACAAAGAACTTCAAGGGCCTTCATAACAGTTCTGAGATCGCTCCCCCTGCTAAAGAGATGAGACATAAAAAGATTTCTTTTAGCATCAACTTAGACCAGTTACTCTCAAGAACACAAATACAGATGCTGGATGATGCATTACAAGCACACATGGGCTAAGAACTTCCCCCCTTTAAGTTAAAACCAACTCCAACTCCCAATTACTCTTTACTGAAGCAACAAATAATCCAAACCCCACCCCCTCCCTCAGTACTTTTCTCAGCACTGCCCCAAAGGGAGAAAAAAAGGCAAAATGATCAGACTTCTACACATTTTCCAAGCTTCTAACCATTCTCCAAGGTGTTAACATACAATGCTTCACATTCCAAAAAGTGCAGTTAAGTAGAGGAAAGGAAATTCTAGGGTACTACTGCCTCTTTCAATCTTTCATATACTAAACTAATTCGCCACTAAATGATTAAAGGTGAGCAACAAACCCTTTTCCAAACACCCTTGTTCCTTAAATGATACTCTCAGCTCCTCAGAATCCCAAATATGGTGAAATGTTAATGAAAACTACTGTTGGCATTTCTATGCGCCAACAACTGATCAATAAATAAAATCCTAAATAGTAAAATCAAATGAACACTTCCCTGATTACTCCATAGAAGCTGTTCAATCTCTGAGGGACATCCTTAAATGGGTTGCTGTGAAATATTAACTAGGAAGTGTAAAAAGAGATCAAGGTGAAGAAAGTCCTCCCAGTGTCATCTGGAATGGGGAAGAACATTCCACTTGAAGGTAAAATAGTTAAAAATAATTGCCCAAGTTGTAAAAAAAAAAAAAAAAAAAAAGTACCCATTTATAAACCTTGCTTTTAACCTGATTTTAAATAAGTTCAAGCACAGATGAAAACTGGCAATAAAAATAAATTCCAATTTGCCTGAGAAGAGACTGAAATTATGAGATACAAACTCTCCTGGATGCTACATGTTAAAAATCAAATTTAAACTTTATATAGTTCAGTAAGATAAAAAGTATATTTAAGCATCTGTTTTTCAGATCTTTCAACATAAAATATAATAATTAACTTCTTGAATTGATTTTTTTAAAAATCATGAGATAAAAGAATCTACTCCACAGGGCTCAGTAACAGGCCTTTAACACTTTAAGGCTAGCTTCTCTGACTGTTTCCACAGGTACCCTGACCAATCTAGTTTAACAGTTTAAAAAAAGACAACATTGACATTTTAAGCCTAACTCATGAGAGGAAAAAGTGGCTTGCATTAATAATGGGCACTCAAGATGACTAATGAGCTACATCATTATACTGATTATCTGAGGTCAGTTAATGTTTTTTCTTTAATCGCTCTCTTTCCTGTGAACAGACCAAAAACAAAGCTTGTTGAGGCATCAGGCAACAAACCAATACCAGAGCAAGCAAGTCTGTGAGCAAGATAAGATACACAGCAACAGCAACAAAGCAGAAGATCTCCAGGCTACTTAAAAATCTGCCCCAAGTATTATTTACCCGCAACATGACAGAAATCTCCAGTAATATAATATAATTAAGAAAATATAACTTAAGAAAAATTCAGCTAATGGTAAACAGCTGTTATTGGTACCTCCCCAAAGCAGCCAAGCCAGGGTGGCTTAAGAAAACACTTAATTTTCAAACATTACCTTAGTCAGCTAATAAGACCACACAGAATGAGAATACCCAACTAGCCATCTAAAAATATGATTTTAGCAGGAATTCATAAATTAGTCTTTGAGAGACTGATCATTTTTCAAAAAGGGGGGGGGAAGCCCCTACCAATCATTTAAAACAATCAGATTCAGCAAGTGAACAGAACATAGTTCAGAGGCCCAGGGTGGGGGGCCAGCACCAGGAGGGCAGTGGTGCAGCCAAAGGCAGGGAAATCAGCGCGGGGCCTGTCGGCCCCCAGAAGTGGCACCTCTGCTCAGTTTGGCCTCAACAGACCATTCCCTTCATGCCCACCAACCCACAAGGCCTTTAGACCACATATGTGACAGACCACAACTTTGTCACACTTGCTACCGAGGGTGTTTACTGCCAAGAAGCCCTACTTCTAGGGCAATCTTTGAGCGGTCACAGGGCAACCGGGACACTGGTGGCTCTGCTCACATCTCAAGTTTCGATCCTGAGGACTGTCCTCTGCAGAGTATCTAATAAGGTAACCAGGGGGAATCTGATAGATGGTGCTATGTCGATCTGGACTTTCTGAAAAGTCCCCGGCTCAGGGTTACCCTTAAGCTTCACTGATGGGTCCTCCCTCATCACAGAAAGTGTGTCTTCGTGGATGTGAGTCCACTGGTACTGTTCAATACTGATGAGCTGTTTGATAGGGAAGAATTTTCTACAGCCTCAGATTCCAGATGGCTAGATTACTTCTATTGGCGGTCTATGTGTCTTCCAACTGTCGCCTGAAATGCATAATCTCCTGTTGCAACATGCAACAGACTATAGCAGCTTTGTCAGGCCTATCAGGGCTTACTGAACAGTTTCTTCAGTAACTGATGAATTGCAGATATTAACAAACAGCTGGCATTTATCTAACTTGAGCAGTAGCCTACACCTACAATCTGCCTTCAAATGATTTGGCTCTAATGCAAAAGCAGGGCATTTGCGGGGAGGTCCACAAAGCACTGAATCTATAAATACACCCATCAGACTGAACTAATCTTTCAAGATGGTTCAGCCTCAGCCACTGAGGATCAGGATTCATTTCTTAATATCTGGTGGAAAATCCACAGTGACAGCATGCTGCTTTTTACTGAAACTCTCCAAGGTGTGGAAGAACGTGAGACATAAAGTTTTTATTACCTCAGAGGCCTGGGGGAGCTATGTGAAAATGAACAGCATGTGTCAGCCAGCCTCTGCCTGCTCTGGGCCCTCCAAGCTGAAAATGGTATTGGATGAAGCACCACCCTCGCCCGAAGAAACCCACACAAAAGGTATGACAGGTTGTCCTGAAACTGAGACTTCTAATGGCGCGCTATATGATACTCAGTTTCAGCACTCTCCCCCAGACTCACAGCCTTCATAAAGACCCAAACCACACTGCAGCTAGTGGCTAAAAGCCCTTCTGAGGAAGTGTCAGGACTAAACCACAATGCCTTTTTTGAGGTTTCTTAATGATCCTGCTCCTCAGCACACTCGGGAGTTTGATCTGGCCATTTCAGTTTTGGAGATTTCCATTCAGGAAAAGGCCAAGGAACCAAGGCAAGAGAAGAAGAAGATGGGAAGAAGGAAGTAGAGGTTACACGGGGAAGTATGCGATGCAGATAATCATGAGAAGTTGGTGAAATGTTTGCAGTAATCTAGACAGTTGTTTTGTCTGTGTGGTGTCAGAAAGCGTATCATCACCCTGGCCTTGTTATGTAAGTCTCCTCTAGTCCTTTCAAAGGGTGAAGCCGTTAAAATAACTGCCTCCATTTAAGGCTGACCAACTCAAGTCCCTGATAACAATAATGAAGAAAATAAAAATCCAGTCTGAAGCACCCTGCTGTTTCAAGACACAGGTTCTAGCCTTTAACGAGGTCGGTACCTTTTTTAACCTTGTCAGCTGAGTGAGTGGGAATAAACTTCTAATAGGCCATTGATAACGATATCCAGTCTTGCTAGAAGGAGTTTTGAAATGCTGACATGTACAAACACTATGTATTTCACACACAGATCAAAATTTCAATGCAGTATTTTGAAAACTTCAGGGAATAAAAAGGCCCATTCCTTTACGGCTAAGTAAACTTTCTAAGTAAACTTTCTAACATCTCATTTACATGTTTTTGAAGCATAGCTAAAAAATACCACTACTGTTATACTCTAAGCTGTAAAATGTAACAGTACTTCATGGTACCTTTGACAAAAACCCAATTTGAGAAATGTCAAAAATATTTAGTAACTGTTAGTGATCATATCAGCTATAATTAAAAGTTGAAATCACTGTATTATAGAGAGAAAATTTTAGTTTTTAAAAACTTCAAATGGTTTATTTGCCATACACTTAGTATTAAAAAGCGAATGATTACTTACAGATAGATTCTGAAGATGCTGGGAAAGTATGTCTTAGAGTATTTCAATTAATTCAATATGTTTGCCTACATTTGAAATCACCCTGAAGCATTTCAGCTCTTGGGGCCAGGGAAATCTATTTGAACTTCAAATTGTTTCTTCTATAGTGGCATCTGCTTATGCAAGAAGTGGGTTATGGAAGGATGGTTTTTATTTACATTAGTCAATTACTGACATGCAATCTTTGCTGGCAATGTCCATATAACTCTTCCAGGCTATTTTTAAAAATATACAGACATGGCCCTAAGTGGACTGAATGTGGAGATGGTAACTGATTATCGGTGGAGTACCATAAATATTGTTGCTGGGAAAAAAAAATGCTAGTGCTCCAATGGTATGGTGTTGGACTATGAAAGTCTAAATCTAGTGAACTTGAGGGGGAATACTCAAAATGATGACTAATTGAGTCTGTTTCAGCTTCTCTGCAGAAGAGAATTCATGTTCACAATGATTAACTGGCTTAAGGAACTCTGTTTTGCATATCATCACATTTGGATTAACACAATTAAAATTTTAAAGTGGGGAAAAAAAACCCCTAAACACAAACGCTGATATTTTGTTAGTCCTGCCTCTGAATCTACTGACCTAGCCACAGAAAACTGAGAGTAATGTATTAACTAAAGCAGTGCCTAAATATAAAACAAAACAAAAAGTTTCCAAAGCCCAACAATATTTGAGCAGAAATGAACTTGAGTTTGCTTACTATTTTCCAAACAAAAGACCATTTAGCCTAGATTCACAAGTATTTGACTGGAAATTGAAACTGTTCTCCATCCTCCAATAAAAATCCCTCAATTATATAGAAGTGAGAAAACAGTAAGTTTCAAGAGGCTTAGGTGTTAAGAAGCTACAAAGTTTGTCTTTTTGGTAATCTCCTGTTTGAAAAAACAAAACACCTCATCTTCTTCCTTAACATGATGGTACTACAAACAACTCCATCACTGCTTCTAGACTACCGAAAGAGAGAAAAACACCACCTCTGGGATTTGAACAATTTGAAGAGAGAGAAAAAAGATGCTACAGTTAAATGGTCAAGGGCTGTACAAAGAAGTTCGTATTTCTGGTTATCTGTTTGGATCTTTCATTTGAGACAAAACAAAAAACCTAGGAGCAAACACAGATTAAAAAAATGAATTAAACCAGGGGTTCTTACCCTTTTTCAGGTCACAGATTCCTACAGGAATCCAGTGAAATGTACAGGCATCTTCCCCCCAAAATTATTCATAAAATATTTTGCATAAGACCAAGGGAATGGAGATCCCCTGAAACCTGGTTACAGACCCAAGGTTAAGAGCCACTGAATTAAGCCAAATCTGGTTTAGCCTGCCCTCAGCAGTAGTTTAAAACTCAGAGAATATCTGCCACTGGGGAAAAGGAGGGAAGGAAGGAAAAAATGCTGCAGTTAAACGGAGTCAGGGGCTGTACAAAGCAAGGCCACGAAGCAAGCCAGACAGTGCTCCCAATGTGTCCTTACCTGTCAAGGGCTGGCTGAGCTCCGCCTGCACTTTACCCTTCGCTGATCCTTCCAGAGGTAAACCTCTGTCCCCTTTGTAGAGTTTCGGTTTAAATGGAGAATCTTTCTCTTTACCTTTTGATCCTTTAGGCCGGCCTGCTTGCTTCTTCTTGGATTTGCCATCCCCCTTCACACCCAGTAGTGGATGGACTTCTGTAAAAGGACAGATAGGCAAAGAAAGAAATCCACACATCACCCCAACTGAGTATGTGCCATGCCACCTATCCATGAGCAAAGAATTCTGCTCTTGCATCTCAGGTCCACTAATACAAGAAGAAAAGTTTGTTTTGTTTATTAATTATGAACTACAGAAGTGTGGCTATTAAATGAGAAATAGTTCCTTGGCCACATGGCCTATGTGATTCATATGAAGCCACAGCAGCTCTAAATGGAAAAGGTAGCTCAAAGACACACTGACACTTTATCACACAAGCCACAACAGGAATGCACATGTGCACACTGGCATGGGAGAGCAGAAAGGGAATGGGCTTTGGTACGCGACAGGCCAGACTCAACCATGTAATTAAAAAGGCTTCTAGAGTCAGACTGTAAAAGTAGGTAGGAAGAATTAAGGTTGTCCAAGTCTGACTAGTACTTTACTACCTAATGAGAATCTTGGGGGAGAGGTAGGGTATTTAAACAAACTGAGCCAGATGTCAGACTTAAAGTATGTCATCTGAGGCAAAGTACTGAGGGCAGAATCTCCCCATTTTAAAAGAGACGTGAAGCAGATGAAATTATTACAAAGTTGTAAAGCACTATAAAAAAGACTCATGGGAAAATTCCTTTAAGGGAAAATCACCCAAACAGGAAATTACCAGATTGTGCTAGAGAGTGGCCTCTGTCAGGCGAGGGAGAGAAAATGTGGCTCTTACCATCATTTGGTACTCCTTGCAGTTCAATATTGGTTGTTTTGGGTTTCTTCTTAGGTGGCTGGGACCCATCTGTTGAAGACTGCCTCTTCTTCTCTGAACTAGCCCCTTCGTCCATCAAGGAGGTTTGGACTGCATCCGGTGGGGGGCCATAAGGATTTTCTTCTGGGTCTTCTACCTCAGGGGCAATGGGTAAATATAATAGAGCCTTTGAATCTTCCAGCTCTTCATCACTATTTGGAACAGGATCAGAAAAGGGATAGGAAAAAAGAGGAGAAAGTTGCTTAAACCGTGAACCCTTCCTCTAGGGCAGAATCATCTAACCATAAGCAACATGTATGGATCTAAAATTTCAAGAAAGCCAAGACAAATAAAAAGAAATCAGACAGGGGCTTCCCTGGTGGTACAGTGGTTAAGAATCCGCCTACCAATGCAGGGGACACAGGTTCGAGCACTGGTCCGGGAAGATCCCACATGCCGCAGAGCAACTAAGCCCGTGCGCCACAACTACTGAGCCTGTGCTCTAAAGCTCGCGAGCCACAACTACTGAAGCCCACGTGCCACAACTACTGAAGCCCATGCACCTAGAGCCCGTGCTCCACAACAAGAGAAGCCACCGCAGTGAGAAGCCCGCGCACCACAACAAAGAGTAGCCCCCGCTCGCTGCCACTAGAGAAAGCCCGCGCGCAGCAACGAAGACCCAACGCAGCCAAAAATAAATAAATAAACTTTTAAAAAAGGAAATCAGACAACACGATTAATAAAATCAGTAGTAAAAATAAACGGCATAAACAAATTATTTCACTTCCTTAAGATTTTTCTATCAAGGGAGAAGGGAAGGGATTTCTTGCGCACCAAAGGAGTTATCTCTGAGGTCAAAGGCAGATGGGCCTGAAGGAAGAGCCGGGGAACTGAGCAGCACAACCAGAGACTGAGGAGGAGGAGCACCCCAGGCCCAGCCTTCAGCGGCAGCTCACCTGCTACAGAAGGCGGCAATAGGGTCCACACTGGTGACATCCACTTCCTCATCCTCTGCAGCATCAGCCCCTGCAGGACAAAAACACAGCAGAGGTGTGAGAAGAAGTAGAAAACTGCTTTTTACATATAGCTTATGGTTTTCATAAACTGAAATCCAGGAGAAACAAAGGAGGAAAACCAAACAGTTTGTTTTACTTAGTCGTTCTGCAAATATTTACTGAATTTCCACCACACGCTAGGCACTGGGAATAGAGCAATGCCCCAGGAAGTTGGGAACGGTTCTTCAGTAAAAATTTTAGAAGTCTAACTGGGGAGACACATACACACAGATAATTTCAGTTCCAGAATCTGTTCCTGTTACTGTAGCACAGTAAGTGCTGCAGTAAAGGTTTGTGCAATGTGCCAAGGAGATGGGAAGGAGAAAGAACTTCTGCGGAAGTTTGGGAAGGCTTCGTACAACACAGTCCAATAACACGAATACAATCCAGAATATACTGCAGCCCTGACGGTCTTTCTAAGGCACAGGAGGCATGTAAGTTATCTAATATCACAAAAGTGAGGACCAGCACTTTCAAGCTGGAGAGAACTAATTTCAATCCCAATTCCCCGATTCCTGACATCATCAAGTGGCCCAGCAGTCAATGACCCGTGGCATTAATTACTCAAGCTGACAGTGCCAACTGGGCACATTAAGCATTCATACACACAAACCCCTGCCAGATGCAAAGCCCTGTGTTTAGACAACGATGGGGCTATAAAATGAAATCTTTATTCTCAAGTAACTTCCTATCTAGAAGTTCAGAAGCCAAGAGATAAAAATAACAATGATCACGATCATAATCATAATAGAAGAGAACATCTGAATGCTCATTATGGCCTAGACACTATAGTGAGCCCTTTACATGAATTATCTCATTTATTCCCCACAACCCTAAAAGGCAGGTACTATTGTTATCCTTATTTTACAGAAAAGGAAGTTCAGGTTTAAAGAATAAGTATTCTGCCCAAGGCGGTCTGACTCCAGAGCCCATGCTCTTTACCTTCATCTTACTGACAAAGGAGTGACAATACGCAAACAGCAGCTGAGCACCCAGCGTGTGTGGGTGGCTTTGTTAGGTGCCCCATGCAAATCCTCATTTAATCATCTGCAATTAGTCAGGAAATACAAAGTGAAACGTTAAGAGAGCTGCTTGAGCCCTAGGAACGCCCATGTAAACCCTGAGTCAATGCCTTACAAATAAATATTCTAAAAACACTGTCAAAACTGTGTAAGCTTAGGAAAAAAAATTAGACTAAGTGCTGAAATGAATTTTCAACACAAATTAAGAATGAGTACTGAGTAAAACAATCATTTTTCCTTTGGGAAATACTACCTGCAATTGAGAAATATTACCTGTCTGTTCAGGCTCACTCTTATCTTCATCTTCAATATCAAACTCTGATTCCCTTTCTTCATATTCTACATTTTCATCCAATTCTTTGAAGTCTGGCGCAAATGCACTCCAATTTTCCTATGCCACAAACAAAACATACTACTTAACTGTGTGAGAAAGCAGCGGTCTGTAACCTAGACATTAATGATATAAATAAAAGGACTGACCATGAACAAGACTCAAAATTCTGAGATCAAATTTGGCAGATAATAAAAATTAGGTGTCTACAGTTTTATTACCTTAAGGCATTTCCTATCTTAAACATTCCATGGTATTAACTGTAGTTCTTTCATAAATAACGGCCTTCTTTAATCTTTTTAAGATGTAATTCTGAGGTAAAATGTTAAGTTTTCTTCTGAGTACACTGATTACAAATATAATTAAAGGTGTTCAAAATAAAACCAAGATGTAAAACAGAAGCTAACTGAGCTGAAAATAAGAAAAGCACAAGAAAACTCTATCTCAGATGAGCAACAGAAAAACGTACCAGGAAGTACACTAGATTTTCTCCCTGAAAACAGAGCTGGTAAATTGACTTTGGACCAAGACCTTACCATTAAAATAAAGCAAAACTAGATGCACTGAACTATTTAATTAGAAGAATCATATGGAAAAGAAAGTATATAAGGTAATTTTGGGCTTACTATTTGTAAAGTTCTTTGATAAAAGGAAAGGGTATCTAGCTTCAAAGCAGTTAAACCAGAAAAATACTTACTACTTGATTTTGTGCCCAGATAGATACCACTCCACTAGAAATGGATGCTATGATGGGTCGAACAGGATGCCACTAAATTTTAATGAAGCAAAGAAAAATCAATTCTAAGGATGAATCCAAGATTTTCTGTATTACATAAGTAACAACAGCAACCTCTCATCCTACTCACAGCTACATCCAAGAGGAGTTCTCCTCTTGTCCCATGGAGAATCTTCACCAGGTTACCAATACTCTTCTCCCAGATGTACAGGGCATGCTGCCGGGCTGACCCTGCGACTATGTATTCCCCATCCCCAGAGAAACAACATTTCTTCCATGGGGTCCTAAAGGACAAAGAAAGTACCCAAATAGAACCAGAACCTGACCCCAGGCCATGAATTAGCACATATTCTTCTAGGTTGTGATACATACCTATTCACCAAGTCCTGCAGTTTCTGCATGGGTTCAGGCTCTCCATCTCTTCCACAGGTTAAGATTTCTCTGCCATCATAAACTCTAATTATTCGATCTGCTGTGTTAATTAAAAAGCAACTACAGAAAAGATAAAAAAATATCAACACCAGAGGTCAGAATCTGTTCCTGTTAACATTTTCCATGGCTACCAGTTACTTAGAACAGTACCATAAGACAACTAACAAATCAGGGAGAGACTGAGCGAAAATCTAAGTAATAGACTAGACCACTGATATATCTACTTGTCACCTTCCAAGCCAAAATATAGCGTGAAGTGAGAAAACGCTTTACTTCCCTTCCTGTGTAATCCCTGAACCCTAGATGCACAAACTAATCAGCAGTATTTGACTAAAATCCAAAACCTCTAAATTGAAACCAGTTTCCCGAATTCACAAGCTTACAGTTAAATATATATAAATACTTCATTCCTCTGGCCTGCTTTATATATAGTATATTCTTAATGAGTTAATAAACTAAATATATCATTCTGGATTGCCCAATTTTTTACTGTGATAACACTGAGTGTTGGAAACCTGTCTAAAACACAAGTTATTTTACCACCTTCTTACAGACTTCACTGTCTCTTGCTTCAAGAGAATTCGAACATGAATGTCCTCTAAGTATGTATGGTGGTTCCCATACAAAATAGGATGACTGTTACTTCTCTTACTGACAACCTATTTTCTTCTTGTTTCTGTTGATACATAAATCTACTTCTAGCTGGGTAATCAAACTTATCAGAAAAACATCTGAAATTAAAAGGGTAAATAAATAGGTTTTATGTAAGTAAAGTGCATATTCAGTTACTATGTGAATTTGTGATATCAATTCTGATTATAATATAACAGCTCACTTTTACCCAGTGTTTACCATATGCCAGACATTTTGGTTCTATGCACAGACCACTCAGACATCTTTTCTGTAAAGGAACTGCCTGTTAACCTCCCAATAAGATGTGACTGCTGGCTCAAAGCAGTAAATCTTATAAACTTAAGAACCAGATAGTGACAGTTTCTATAACTATTTTCTAAGTAAACTTAAAAAAAAAAATAAGTATAATATACACAAAAACTGTGAATCTCAATGTATTTTTGCATTCTACTCACTTTTAAAACTGTCTCTAAAAAGACAGGTCTCACTTACCTGCCCTTCCGAGCAAACTCTATTGACTTAATGGCTGTGGTATTGCTTGTTCCAGTTGTTACTCTGAAGGAAGCAACAAGATCCTGAGAATCTGTTTTTAGGACCAAGATCTAAAGTTTAAAAGAGAAAAATAATAAGTATTCTGATAACTTACAGTAATTAGATTTGACTTCTGTTTCTGAAGCTGGGCAAAGACTGGGTGAAAATATTAATATAAATATCTCTATTCCCATGTATTCAACTTGATCAACTGCTATTGCCTTTTACCTCTTCAATTAAAGGACACTGTCTTAACCTATTGTTAGAAGATAATATTTAACATTATCCAGAGTCAAAAAGTAGAAGCAACCCAAGTATCCATCAACAGATAAAATGTGACACATACATACAATGGAATATTATTCAAACTTGAAAAGAAAGGAAATTCTGACACATGCTACAACATGAATGAATCTTAAGGACATTATGCTAAGGGAAGTAAGCCCATCACAAAAAAACCAAATACTGGATGAGTCCACTTATACAGGTACTAGAATAGCCAAATTCATAAAGATAGAAAGTAGAATGATGGTTTCTAAGGGGTGAAAGGGAGTAGGAAATAGCAAGTTATTATTTAGTAAGTACAAAGTGAGTGCAAGATGAAAAGAGCTCTGGAGATAAACGATGGTGATGACTGCACGACAATGTGAATGTACTTTACACCACTGAACTGTACACTTAAGAATGGTTAAGACGGTAAATTTCGTTAAGTGCATTTTACCACAATAAAAAAAAAAAACCTGCCACTCTCTAAAGCAGCCATGAAACTGTACTAACCCCCCCGGTCCCAGCCAAAAAAAAAAAAAAAAAAAAAAATCAAAGTGCACTGGAACTCAAACTCTAATAAGCTTGAAAAGGACCCTAAAGCTCATCAAATCCAACTTCTTAGTACACAAAACAATACATTAAGCTAGCCTAAATTATACAATATTTGCAGACCAAGATATCAGACATTTTATCAGCAGTACTCCATTGATGATATGATTTTTAAATTTTATAATTTAGTAATGGCCTTTCATTACTAGCATCCAGTAAAGGCCCCCCATCCTTCTCTAGGTCAAATTACCTCTGACTGCTCTAAATCCAAAGAACAGAAATTATTAAGGCATGAGAGAAAAATAGGCTATATTTACCACAGGCAGGAGGCATGCTTAGTCAAGGGGTAAAAGAAATTTCAGAGAAAGAACAAGCAAACATGAAATGAGCCATGAGCCAATGTACAGGATGACTGATGCATATTTCACCAGCTTCTAAGCTTCTACGCTTACCTTGCCTTTTGCATTTCCTGTATAGATATATTCTCCTCGCCTATCAAAAGATGCAACCACGTTCAAATCGGAGTCATCGTCTACGGGCAGAACAACATGTTTGGAATCTGAAAGGGTCAACATGACAGGAGCAGATTTCATGGGACACACGAGAACCTTGTTCCTGTTTAAAAATATGAATAGTACATTGGCTGTTGCTATGATATCAGAAGGCTGACTCTCTGCTCTTTTCTGTAATTCCTATCTACTACCTCATCAACTCTCCCAGCCCAAGCATATTTAAAATAGTGAAAACGCCTAAACTCTAAATTCCTAATAATAGGGAAATGACTGAGTAAAGTTATGAGATCTTACCTTGACAAGATAAAATGTAATTATTAAAAATAAATATGAAGATGTAGCAAACTGGTAAAATATGTATGAAATAAAGTGAAAGGCAAAATACCAATTAAAACTATGTAAAAATACATATTTGCGTACATCTAATAGACAAATGCTTTGTGAGCTAGTAAGTGCTTTGTGAGTTATGAAGCACTATACAATAAGCTTTATACTTAAAGAGAACTTGCCTAAAAGAAAACCTAGAGAAATGAAAATAGTTATATCTCAGTAATAGAATGATGGATAACTCTTTTTCTTAAATATAGTTTTCATAATGAACCGTTTCCCCTACTAAAGAAATTCAAATTGGAGGAAAACCCCAGGTAAAGAACAGTTATTATACTTATTTCTACCTTTGCCCATTTCTGAAGTCTTAATTAATATAGGCCAGTTTTTAACTATATACTATAACAGTCTCTTTAAAATCTATTCACTAGATCCAGATAATCTGGAAAGATTATTTTATATAGAAGAGGTTGAAGAGATGTGGGCTTTTGCATCCTAAAACCTTAAACTGAAATTGTCATGGGCCTGGAGATAGAATTAGACCCACCCCAGGAGAGAATAGCACAGATTAAACATACTGATCTCGCGGATGATACTGGACTTTTAAGATGGGTGAAGGGAATCGAAACCTCTGGTCGCAGTCGCCTGAAAGGACATCCCACTGTGACACTATGTTATCAGTGGAAGCACTCACGAGCTTATGACCATCTCGACTCCAGCTGAGAAGGAAAAAGGGTAACTTAGCACACATTCTAAGTATATCATATCATCCTTATAGATAAAAAAGCATGAGTCACACTTATTGCCCTAACTGCATGGGTCACCAACGTTTCTTCTTCTTTATTTTTTAAACATATACTCAAATCCACAACAAGCTTTCCTAACTAAGCAATAAAAAAGAATGTTTTCATGACATCTTCATATCTAGTAATAGAAGCTCTTAACAGTTCAAGATAACAGTACAAGTGGCTCAGTGAAAAAAGGGAGACTCAAACATTTTAGAAAAGTATAAAATCAGCTGGCCCTTAAGTGTTGATTTAACAAAAAGCAGGTTTTCTTCCCCTTGGGGGGAGGGGGAGGAGTAGTTGAGCTTTCTGAAGATGTCCCAGAAGTAGCACTATCATAGTATAAGTGAACCAGTACAGATAGGTATCTGTTATTTAAAATAATTAAGAAAAGAATTAAGGAAGGAATTAATTCATCCTGCTAAGTACAGTTAAACATCCTAACATTATATAGAAAACAAACATAAAAAGGTAAAGAGAAGACAGACTGTCTAGGGACTACAGGATATGAGGAACGACACAGCAGTGAGGTCTTTAGATTTTCTTTTTGCCTCATATATCCTGGACTGGGTGACGGAGATGCCAACAACCCATTAGCATCAATAGGCACACACACAAAAAAGTCTCCAGAAGAGCCAAAGGACTAGGAAAGGACAACCAACAGATGCTAACACACAGATGACACAGGTGTTAGTATTACCCGACAAGAATTGCAATGCAGCCATCATTAAAATGCTTCAACAAGCAATTACAAACATGCTTGAAACAAATGGAAAAAAAAAAGTCTCAGCAAAGAAACAGAAATATAGAGAAAAGAACCAAATGGGAATTTTAGAACTGAAAAATATAAAAACTGAAATAAAAAACTCAAAAGATGGGTTCAGCAGCCAATGGAAAAGAGGAAGACAGAATTAAAAATTCCCAATCTGAATAGGAGAAAAAATGGAATGAAAAAAATTAACAGAGCCTCAGGGACCTGTGGGACTATAATAAAAGATCTAATATCTAATATCCATGGCATCAGAGTCTTGGAAGGAGAGAAGAAAGAGAGTAAGGCTTAAAGGTATTTGAAGAGGGCTTCCCTGGTGGCGCAGTGGTTGAGAGTCCGCCTGCCAATGCAGGGTACACGGGTTCGTGCCCCAGTCCGGGAAGATCCCACATGCCGCGGAGCAGCTGGGCCCGTGAGCCATGGCCGCTGAGCCTGCGCGTCTGAAGCCTGTGCTCCGCAACAGGATAGGCCACAACAGTGAGAGGCCCGCATACCGCAAAAAAAAAAAAAAAAAATGTATTTGAAGAAATAATGGTTGAGAGAGGATATGGGAATATATGTATACATATAGCTGATTCACTTTGTTGTACAGCAGAAACTAACACAACACTGTAAAGCAATTATACGCCAATAAACATGAGAAAAAAATAATGGTTGAAAATTTCCCAAATTTGGCAAAAGATATAAAACACACAGCCTCAAGAAGCTAGGCAAACTTCAAACAGGATGAGCTCAAAGAAATCCACTCCAAGACACAACCTTCTGAAAACTAAAGACAAAGAAAAAAATCTTGAAAGCAGAAAGAGGAATGACACGTTACCTACGGGGAACAATAATTCACACGACAGCAGATTTCACACCAGAAACCATGAAGGTCCAAAGAAAGTGACAGTTTTTCAAGTGCTGGAAGAAAAGAACTGTCATCCCCAATTCTACACCCAGAGAGACTAACTTTCAAGAACAAAGGGGTAATCAAGGCATTTGTCACCAGCAGATCTACCCTAAAAGAACGGCTCAAGGAAGTTCTCTAAGCAGAAAGTAAACAATAAAAGAAGGAATCTTAGAACATCAGGAAGAAAGAATAATGAAAAAGGTTTTAAAAAATTAAATACTTTTTTCTAGAGTTTTGATGTTTGAAGCCAAAATTATAAGTTATATAGGTATCAATATACATAAAGGAAATGTTTAAGACAATTATACTATAAACAAGGGAGGGTAAAGGGATGTAAAGGGAAGGTTTCTGTACTTCACTTAAACTAGTAAAATGTCAACACCAGTAGACTATGATAGGTTATGTATATACCATGTAATACCTAGCAACCATTAAAAAGCTATACAAAGAAATACACTAAAAAATACTACAGGGGCTTCCCTGGTGGAGCAGTGGTTGAGATCCTGCCTGCCAATGCAGGGGACGTGGGTTCGAGCCCTGGTCTGGGAAGATCCCACATGCCACGGAGCAGCTGGGCCTGTGCGCCACAACTACTGAGCCTGTGCTCTGGAGCCCTCGAGCCACAACTACTGAGCCTGCGTGCTACAACTACTGAAGCCCGTGCACCTAGAGCTCGTGCTCTACAACGAAGAGTAGCCCTCACTTGCCGCAACTCGAGAAAGCCTGTGAGCAGCAACAAAGACCCAGTGCAGCCAAAAATAAATAAATAAATAAATAAAAGAATAAAAAATACCACAGATAATCAAAATGGAATTCTAAAAATAGTTCAAGTAACCCACAGAAAGGCAAAAAAGAAAACAGAAATGAAAAACAGAAGAGACAAACAGAAAAAGAAACCCAAAATCAGTCTTCATTCAAATTTTGCAATGAAGAGGAGTTGCTGCTGAGGAACATAGAGGACGCAACACAGTTCATGGTTAAGAACAGAGGCTCAAGTCAGATTTATGCTCAAGCCTAGACATTACAACCTTCTAGCTGCGTGATCTTGGGCAAGTTATACAGCCTTTCTGAGCTTCAATTTTCTCACTTATAACATGGAAATAATAGTATCTACCTGCAGACTCTCGAGAGACTTAACATTAATACATAAAAAACTCTCAGTGCAATACAGTAAGTGCTCAAAAACCATTAATTATATTAGAGACAAGATAAATGTATTCCCAGACTTGTAACTCACAGCAGAGGAAGGCAGGAGTAAACTGAGGAAGTGAATGTGGAGGGACTAAGCTCAAGTCTGCATACAAAGGACTCAGGTACCTGTGTCTCCCACAACCTCTAGAACACTCCCAGTCAATTAGAAGATCCTTCTGGAGAATCTAAAAAAGAAGATGCCTACAGATACTGTAACTAGAGGGTTGATAACAAAAAAGCCAATGGTCCACCCAATTTCAGTAGATGATGGGAGGGTAAAAGGGTGAGATAAAGCTCACATATACTGTAATAAAAAGTCACAGATAAGTTCTTGAAATTAACAAACTAAGAAGAAGTAATATGCATAAATACTTTAGAAATATGAAGACAAATATTAAGAGAAACAAACCAAAAGAATGGAAGTACACTGGGAATGGGACATTATTGGATTATTGGGAATGGGAAGAAACAAGGGACAGCTGCTGCTGCTGTTCCCCTAAGCATTTTAGCACAATCTGACTATGAAACAGAATGTTAGCTATATTTCCATTTTTCCTTTAAACCCTCTGCATTTTAATAACTTTTTCTTTCATAGCAGGCTTGTATTTCTGTTATAATAGAGGGAAATCTATTTTTAGAAATTAAATTATAATCAGAGGTGAAACTAAGAGGGGTTTTCCCATTAAAACTAACAATATATTCTTCAATTCCAAATTCCATAAATTCAAGAATTAGGGATTCTCATACATCCTCACATCTGACAATACTGTTTCTTTCCAAAATACAGACAGGTCTTTACTAAGTCTAATATCTTAGAGTCTTAAACATCATTTCATTCTACCTATGGCCCCCATCCAGTGACTGAATATCTTCTGTAGCATCCCTATGAAGAGACAGCAAGCCGAAGCAGGGCCAGTCCCACTGGTAAGTTCTTTCCTGGGCAGTCCATCCCATCCATAGGCACCTTTGCTTGGGAGCTCATCTCTATTCTAAGGTAACATTTGTTTCCCTATAAATCCCGTTCACTACCTACCAGTCCTGCTTCTTCTCCTTAGGTCAATTTTTGTCTTGCACATGTCAGTTCTTTAATAGCTGAAGACAGCTATCATGCCTATCCAAAACTTCTCTTTGGTGAAATTTTCTTAGTCCCTAACATGTTCAAATACTACACAACAATTAAAATAATACATAAAGTTATATACTAAATGAGGATGAATCAAAGAAAAATGCAAAATGCATATAACTACAGATCATAACTCTCATGTATACTTATATATACCAAAAATTAGGGAACAGTTAAATAATTATGATGCATACATACTAAGCAATACTATATATATCGTATGTACACACACACACACATATATCAACACAGAAAAACATCCACTATATATTAAGTGGAAGAGCAAGCTAAAAAACAAAATGTATAGTATGTCTCCGCTTTTTAAAAAACATACACATGTATATGTGTATGTGTATTTTTATACATGCTGAGGGAGATACAGATATATCTTACAGATGAAAGATATATTCCATATACTTTAATACTACTTACCTTAAAGAGCAGACAAAGAGCTTTCGTTTTTTACTCTATATACTCATATATTGTTTCAATGTTTTAAAGTTCTTAATAATCAAGTTTTGTGATAAAAAGTTTTAAAATGTTGGGGGGAGAGGGGGAAAATCTCTCATTGTTCAAACCCTTTGACCTAGCAGTAACATACTTTTGGAAGTCTACACTAATGAACAAACATAGATCAAACGCCTACTGGGCATCTTCACTAAGATATCCCCACCCATCCAACAAGTACCTGAATGCCTACTACATACCAGGTATAATGCTACAGTAAAATGGCAGACAAGGTTCATGTATCACAGCACCTACCATGTTCCAGGGAAGATACTCATAAAACAACTATTTGCAATAAAATACAACAGGAGACACACAACCGTGATCTCAAATTCACCATTATCACCCTCAAATCTTACACTTAACATCTTCATCCAAGCAGGAAACCTGAGGATCTTAACTTCTCTACTTCACTTACACTCCTTATCTAATTAATGCCTAAGATCTCTTATTTCTACTATTTCTCACATCTGTACCATTCAGCTCCATTCCTACTGCACCTATCCTCATCAGCTCTAGCCTAGGCCACTGCAATCCTAACTTCATTCACTGTCCCCTTCAATCTCTTTCCCACATGCTGTTCTAGAGATCTTTCTAAAATAAAAAGCTCATCACGTCACTTTCCTTCCTAAAGTCCTTTAATGGCTTCACAGTACCTACACGATAAAGCTCAAATTCATAGTGTGGCACACAATGTGCTCCATGAGGACCTGTTTACCTTGGCTGTTGCCATGTCACATCTCTGATACCACAATCCAGCTAATCTGAACTACCTGCAGTTCCCCATTTTACCATGCTTGTTTCAAGCTGATGTGCTTTTGCCTGTACAGCACCTTCTGCTTGGAATACAACTGGCAAACACCTAGTCATCTAACAAGTTTGAGGTTAGAAATTACCTCATCTTTGAAGCCTTTTCTGACCACACTTCTTCTCCAATACAATTGATCATTTCCTCCTTTGCACTTTTGCCTCCACTAAATCGCAAATATAGTTCTTAGGTAGGACCTACAAAGCTTTAGTACATGTAGCTGTATGCACATGTACCTCCCCCTACCAATCAAGAATCTCTCCTTACTTGTTTTTGTGTCCCCCAAACCCTAACCCTAACCCTAATCGTAAATGCCTAAAGCAGTATCTGGTATATAATACATGTTCAATGTTTGCTGAAGAAATGATTGTATGAGAGAAAAACTTTATGTGCAAAGACGTTGACTGAACATTATGTAGCAGAGAAACAAAAATGGTTAAGTAAATTATGGTTTATCTATCAGAAGATATTTAGCCATTAAAAAAAAAGTTTTTAAAGGCTACACAAGCAGGAAAATGTCTGGTCAGTGTTAGACAGGAAAAGAGCAAAATATAAAATAAAACATAGCATGCTTACAAACTATGCTTTTTATTTAATTTTTAAAATTTATTTATTTATTTATATATTTTATTTTTGGCCATGTTGGGTGTTCGTTGCTGCGCGCAGGCTTTCTCTGGTTTCGCAAGTGGGGGCTACTCTTCATTGCAGTGCACGGGCTTCTCATTGTGGTGGCTTCTCTTGTTGAGGAGTACGGGCTCTAAGTGCACAGGCTTCAGTAGTTGTGGCACATGGGCTCAGGAGTTCTGGCTTGTGGGCTCTAGAGTGCAGGCTCAGTAATTGTGGCACAAGGGCTTAGCTGCTCTGTGGCATGTGGGATCTTCCCGGACCAGGGCTCGAGTCCGTGTCCCCTGCATTGGCAGGTGGATTCTTAACCACCATGCCACCAGGGAAGTCCTACGCTTTTTAAAAATTATACATAGTAACAAATCAAAATATTTACAGTAGTAATATCAGAGTGGTAAGACTATGGGAGATAGTCGTCTATCTTCTACTTTGCTGTATTTTCCATAATTTTCTAAATTATTATTATTTTATAATAAAAAATACATGTTTTTTTTTTTTTTTCCATTACGCAGGCCTCTCACTGCCGCGGCCTCTCCCATTGTGGAACACAGGCGCCGGATGCCCAGGCCCAGCGGCCATGGCCCACGGGCCCAGCCGCTCCGCGGCATGTGGGATTTTCCCGGACCAGGGCACGAACCCGTGTCCCCTGCATCGGCAGGCGGACTCTCAACCACTGCGCCACCAGGGAAGCCCAATACATGTATATTTTTAGTGATAGTTCTAAAATTAGATTGTGATGATCGTTGCACAACTCTGAATATATAAAAACAATGAAATGTACATTTTAATTGGGTGGATTTTATAGCATGTGAATTATATGTATCTTAATAAAGCTGATAAAAATGTATGTACCTACTTAAATCTTTATTGCAAGAGCACAACAATAAAAAAAATAAATAAAATGCAAAGGAACTGGAAAGAACCTAAGAAATCATACAGGCCAGTTCTCTCATTTTGCATATTAGAGAAACGTTTTGGCCAAAGCCGCCAGTTCATTAGTGGCCAAAGCTAGACTGGGATTCAGGCCTCCTCCCAATCCAGTGCTTTATAATACCACTGCTGCTTATATTTCGACAAAAGGAAATATGTTAGTTTAATAAATCTAGATCTGATTAGGTGTTTTTGGTCCCAAGTTCATTTAAAAGAAGTGCTGCCCCAAAATAAAATTTTCTGAAAACAGATAGTCCCTGAGAATAAGAATGAAATCAATGGGATTTATATAATACCCGATTTCAGCTCAATATATTTGATGGGAAGCCTTAATAACTACAATTCAATGAAGGAACAGGCATGTTTGTGTTCACTAAAACTACTGTAATTCAAGAACATAGACAAGGCTGGACACTTTGACTTCCAAGCTGCCCTCCTAACCAGGATTTTTTTATTCTAAATGAAAGGTCAATACCACAAGAATACTACAGCTGCAATCTGTAAATGTCTCATTTCAGTACTGAAATATTCTCAGACAGAGCCTGATACAGATCCATATTACAATGAATTTCTCCCCCAAAGGTGTTGAAAGCAGCATGGATTCAAGGTCTCCATAGGCTATGAGAAATTATGTTACTAATGGCTGTATATTTAAAACTCTAAATATTAAAATTTATCTAATGAGACTGGCAACTACACAGTCACCGTTCATCCCCCCGATTTAAATATTTAATACATTAACTTTAAAATTCCTTACCACAAGGAACAGACTGGATGAATGTGCGCACTAATTATTTTAGCAATGCCTCTTGTCAAGAAATCCCAGATGACAATTCGGCCGTCATTACAGCCAACTGCAAGCAGTGTGCCCCACCTGTTAAAGGTGCAAGTCAGGGCCATGCTGATACAATCCAAAGTTCCATCAGCTTCCTAAAGATTAAAATGAACATAAGAATATAGACAATAATACCCAGGTATCCAAATAATTTCTTAAAGTTTCTCTAACATCTATGATAATTCTCTTGAATTTAAATTATGATGTATACCAAAATAATCTCTATGTGTGTTCTCATATCTATTAAACTAGCCCAAATAGAGAAATATTTATAAAAGCTAACAGAGAATTTTTAGAAACAGATGTGACCAATCCCTTGCATTACAACTATAACTTCGTACAAATTCTCCGGAAGGCAATTAGGCAAAATAAAACAGGATTCACTAAAAGAGTCATCTTACTGATCAAGTAATCATAGTTCTTGAAATTTATTCCAAGAAAAATAAAACAAAACCCCTGTGTAACATTAGGAAAATCAAATAAATTTATATTAATATCAAGCCATTTAAAATAATCACGACTACATTAAACACACTCTAAGTGTTACAAAATATTTTTACATGTAAAGCACACTTATACCATACGTGTTATTACTATGCAAAAACACTGATCAAAACTATAAAAGCACACAGAAAAAAAATTTACATGAAGGTGATAGTACTGTTTCTGAAAAATGCTTCAATCAAAAGTATTTTTTTAATTTAAAGGGAAATGAACTGTAAGATTTACATTATGTTGAAATTTCCAGCCAACATTGCCTATCTACCTCCCCTGCTGCTCAAAATTAAACATTTAGTTCCCTTTTATAGCAAAAGATCATCATATTTAATGCTTCTATTGTCAAGAAAAAAAAAAAAGATGAAAACGTAGTTTCCACTCAAACATAAAAGCTAGGGAGTTACCGTTTTCTAAAATCACAATACAATACTCTTACCTCTGGATAATTCTGCCCAAAGGACTCTGCAACAAAGCAAAGGAAGAAAGTTGATGGAACATGTGCAACATACCAGGAATCCTACAGCTCACAACTACCGCTCACAAACAGTGTACAGCAGTGGCTTGCAAAGTGTGGATGGAGAACTGGCGCCCTTTCAGGGACTCCATGAGGTCACACCTATTTTCAATATCACACCAAGATGGTATGTGCCTTTTTACTCTCATTATTTCACAAGTTTACAGATGAGTTCTGAGGCTATACGAGCTGTGATACTGAAACAGTATGAATGCAGAATCCAGCCAACTTCTATTGATATTTAGGCAAACATTAAAGAGATTTGTAAAAATGCAAAACAATGCCACTCTTCTCACTAAATAAGTTTTGTTTTAGAAAAGTTATTTTTCATAAAAACGTTATTAATGTAAACATGTAATGGGGTGTTTTTACGGTTATTTTTATGTAACAAACTTTAAAAAACCAAATCAGTCAACTTATCTTAAATCCCAACTACTCTCTTAAAACCTTTATTAAGAGCAGCCAACCAACAGGGTTCCCTTCCTAATAATAGTACTAAGGCTATAACACAATCTGGTAGTTGGTTAAACACACAATTCTCTGTATTAATTTCTTAAGCAAATAACATTTTGGTACAGACATCCCTGAATACTTTTCCTATATTAAATTTGGCGTTTATACATTAGTGATAAACATTTTGAGCTATAGTACGATACTGCCTGCTTGTCAGAAGTTTAAGGTTTAGAAGTTTAATGCAGTAGCAACATCTTTATCAGTATTTACTTATGTTATTACCTAAACATTTTATTAGCATGATATTTAAACTATACTCTGAGAACTACAGATCCAAGGAAGCTGTTTTACATTTAGGACATTCAAATAAGATTTCATCTAAAAAATAAGTTTACTATTTTTAGTTTTTTACCATATGATCCAGCAATTCCACTCCTAAGTATATATTCGAAGAAAATGAAAATACTAACTCAAACAGATACATGCACCTTAACGTTCACAGCAGCATTATTTACAAGAGCCAAGATATGGAAGCAACCTAAGTGTCCATCAACAGATGAATGGGTAAAGAAGATATAGAGTATGTGTATATATATGAATATTTATATATCTATGAATATTTATATAGATAATAAAATAGTTCTCAGCCATAAAAAAGAATAAAATTTTGCCATTTGTAACAACATGGATCAATCTGGAGGGTATTATACTTAGCGAAATAAGTCAGAGAAAGACAAATATTATATGTCACCACTTACATGTGGAATCTAAAAAATAAAACAAATGAAAGAATGTAACAAAACTGAAATAGGTTCACAGATATAGAGAATAAACTCATGGTTACCAGTGGAGAAAGGGGAGGGGGAGGGGCAATATAGGGATAGAGGATGAAGAGGTACAAACTACTATGTATAAAGTAAATAAGCTATAAGGATATACTGTACAGCATGGGGAATATAGCCAATACTTTATACTAACTTTAAATGGAGTATAATCTACAAAAATACTGAATCACTATGTCATACACCTGAAACTAACATAATACTGTAAATCAACTGTACTTCCATTTTTTTTAAAAAAAGTCTGAAAACCAGTTTTATTACATTTTGTCCTTTATAAAAATTAATAGAAATCAAAACAGTGAAAACATTAAAACTAATCAGAATACAGGCCCTAAAGTTAAGAAAACTAAAAGAAAGATGAAAATAAAGATGAATAATTGCCCCCCAACAAAAGGCAATTATTTTGATTTCTCTAATGTGCACCAGACTTCAGTGTCTGATTGCATTCAAATACTAAAGACAGGAATGAAATGAAAAGCTGAAACCAGATTAAGATAGGTTATTCTGAAAGAACCTTTTTAAAATTACTAAAGTCATACATGTAGGTAATACAGATATGTGTAATTAAAAAATGATATAGTTTCCTCCCTGCAACCCACTTACTAAGGTAAAAGCTTCCATATATTTCTATATGCTTAAACAAACATTAACATATTTAAGGTTTGTTCTTTAAACAAAATACTACACATATTATATGTATTATATGTAATATATGTATTATAATATGTATTATTAACAAAATATCTTATATATATTTCCAAAGCAATAATATAAATCTATATTCACATGATTGAGAGAAAAAAGGAGTATTCATTGAAAAATTAAAAACAAAACAAAAAAACACAACCTAAAAATATGAAGTACTCAGGAAGGAGTAGAGTATGACTTCTGTGTTCAGAGATGGGAAAGCCATATTTAAAATTCTGAGAGAAACTCCCTGGCAGTCCAGTGGTTAGGACTCCGAGCTTCCACTGAAGAGGGCACAGTTTCTTCCACTGAAGAGGGCAGTGTGGCCAAAAAAGCAACAACAACAAAAAGATTCTGAGAGAATCCAGAATCCTGGGACCATTTTAATGTATGATTACCCTTCAACACAGATTACCCCTGATTTTGTATTTTTGTTTTATGTTTTAGGTGTTGTGGGGTTTTTTCCCCTTTTTTGGAGGGTCATCCTAGTTAACAGGATTATAACAAGGAGTTTAAAGGAACACAAAGAAAAAGTGTGTATAAAAAAGACTAAGCTCGTCTGGGCCACTTTGGTTGAAGAGCCTGAGCAAGAATGCTGTCAAGTAGGGTTATGGTAGCACAAGGCCACTGCCCCTAGATGCTCAAGGCCACTTTTATATTCTCTATCCTCCCACCATCTAACCACCCATCATCTAACATTTAACATTTTGTTACAATTAGATTCTTAGGCTTGGTTCTAAAGACCAGGAAAGGGGGTAAAAAAGATGCCCAAACGTAGCTGCCAAAGAGAAATAAACGCTGGTCGGATTTAACTTCACAGTACACTTGATAATTCAAAAAACATGAATGACACATTTCCAAAACTGATTACAGAAGAAAAGTCCTTGACTGGGTCAATGAGGAAAAAACACATTGAGAGGTTGTTAAAGACCTACCATTAAATTTTTTTTAAATGTTTAATTATAAAAAAACGGACAGCAGGCCCATATGGTTTTATGAGCAATTTCTCCTAAATCTCAAGGTGCAGGTAATTACTATGTTATTCAAGCTATTTCTGAGCAGAAAAAAATATGTATTCGTGTTTTATAAAGCCAACATAGCTGATACCAAAACCTGATAAGATGATACAAAAAGAAAACAAGAGTCTCTTTCACTTAAGAACATAAATAGTGGGACTTCCCTAGTGGCACAGTGGTTAAGAATCTGCCTGCCAATGCAGGGGACATGGGTTAGATCCCTGGTCCAGGAAGATCCCACATGCTGTGGAGCAACTACGCCTGTGTGCCACAACTACGAGCCTGTGCTCAAGAGCTCACGAGCCACAACTACTGAGCCTGCGTGCCACAACTACTGAAGCCTGCACGCCTGGAGCCCGTGCTCTGCAACAAGAGAAGCCACAGCAATGAGAAGCCCATGCACCGCAACAAAGAGTAGCCCCCTGCTCTCCGCAACTAGAGAAAGCCCGCGTGCAGCAACCAAGACCCAATGCAACAAAAAATAAATAAAATTAAATTGATTCTTTAAAAAACCCCCAAAAACAGGGCTTCCCTGGTGGCGAAGTGATTGAGAGTCCGCCTGCCAATGCAGGGGACACGGGTTCGTGCCCCGGTCCGGGAAGATCCCACACGCTGCGGACTGGCTGGGCCCGTGAGCCATGGCCGCTAAGCCTGCGCGTCCGGAGCCTGTGTTCCACAACAGGAGACGCCACAATGGTGAGAGGCCCCCATAACGGAAAAAAAAAAAAAAAAAAGAACACAAACAGTACAGGGTATTTCACCTCTAGATTCTGCAGAAATGAAAAGTAATTTCTAGCAGTGTATATAAGTATAACCGAATTCTAAACACAAAAAATCTGGAGTTTATTATTCTACCATGTAAGAAGGCATAATGGAATAGCAAGGGGAAAAAAAAAATAGGCCTACTCCAAACTCACTCCAAAGGAACAAACAATAGCACAATGCACTCTAATGTATTCAATATATCCTTGGACGAGAATGTTTAAGAGCCATACAATCCTATGAGTAGATGCTGAAAAAAAATTTTGCTAAAACTCAATAGCTCATTCTAATAACAGCCACATCTAACAGAAGACTACAATAAATGATAAAAACTATTAACCAAAAACACAACAATTATCATTCTAAAAGGTGAAATATTAAAACCATTCCAATTAGTATCAGCAACTAGAAAGGGATATATCACCATTATTAGTTAATATTCCTCTTAGAGGTTCCAGCCAATGGAATAAGAAAATGAAATAACTGGTTTAAACATTGACTATAAGAGATAAAACTATTTCTTTTGCTGATAACACTGAATACCTAGAAAACACAGAAATTCTAATTTTAAAAACCACCCAAATTAATAAGAAAATAAGGCAAGGTGGTTTGATACAAGAAAAACATTCAAACATTAACAGCTTTTCTTTAGGTTAGCAATCAATATCCAGAAATGAAAATGAAGGGGAAAATTCCACTCACAATGGCTAAATATTTAAGGAAAAAATGTAATAAGAAAGACATGACATGTATGAAGAAGAAAACTATAAAATCTTAGTTAAGGCCGTAAAATATGAATAAGTGAAAAGACAAACTACATTCTGGGGTGGGAAAGCTTAATGGCTTTCTCCAAAAACTAGTAAATTTTATGCAGTTCCAGATGGATTAAAGACAAATGTTAAAAAAAAATCTACATGTACTGTAAGGTTGCTGATATATGATAAAGATAACATTTAAATTTAGTGGGAATTTATTTAATATATAGGGATGGACAACTGACTATCCATCTGAAAGAAAAAACAGCTCCAGTTCCTCTCTCATACCACATATAAAAATAAATTTCAGGTAAATTAATGATTTTTTAAAATCAAAAATCTTAGAAGAAAACCTAGGAGATCCCATGTATAATCTAGGGTGGGGAAGACCTTAACCAAGTTAGGAAAACCGAAAGAAAAGAGAAATACATTA